GCATGCTTTATTTATTTATTTATTTGTTCCTTTGTTTGTTTTTGTTTATACATGCACTGGGTACAGTCAGAAGCGCAGGGGGGGGGGGTGAGAGAATTCACCAGAGCCAGAGCGGGGAGCAGAGCAGGCAGAAGGACCGAAGTACACTGCTGAGGGGAGCAGCGGGCGGCAGGAGAGGTCTGCGCGCCATGTGGAACCCTCCTCCGGTGGGCCGGGAGCAGCCGGGGATCGAACCGGCGCCGCAGAGGCCCGTGGCAGCTTCGCAACCCAGCGCTCAACCACTGCGCTACTGGGGAGGCCCAGTCTGCCTGTTTTGTTCCCTGCTCTGGTTCTGGTGAATTCTCTCACCCTCCTGCGCTTCTGACTGTACCCAGTGCCTGTATGAATAAATTAATGAATCTTTAAAAAAAAAAGAAAGGCATTATGTTTTGTCCATGGGTGACACCAAATTGTTGTTCTCGGAAGAGGGACTGATGAATTGTGACTTATTTAGTCATGAACTGAAGTCAAACCAACATATAGGCATTTTCACCCCAGCCCCAGCATATTTCCTGGATTTCCTCATTCATATTGTATGTATCTAATACTGTTTTTCCATTTATATGTTATTATATTTAAAAAGAAATTGATAAGCATCATATATGGCTAATTAGTATTTCCACAACTGTGTGTGTCATAACTCTGAGTCAGTGAACTCTGGGTTTTAAATTTAGCATTTAGTAGTTTTCAAAATTACTGTGGTGACTTCTGTTCCAGTATTTTACATTTTGTAACCTGATTGTTCTTCGTTTTTGTTTTTCCTGTTTCTCTTCAACCCTTCCCATTTTATTTTTATTTTACAAAAGTTGTGTTTTAAATCATTATAAGTATATTTTAAAAACATTAGCTTCATTTGGTTTCTTTTTGGAAGTAATATTCCTGGCTTGCATAAAAGTGGAGTAAGGAAGAGCAAAAATGAAACATGTAATTCAGCAGTATCTGTGCCTAAAGTAAGCAGGAAGACTGGTGCTTTGCATTCAGTGACTGGTGACAGCAGAAGACATGAATCAAGACAGAATAATGGCAGCAATGTCTATAATTTCTTCCTGTATAGGTAAAGGAATATTAGCAGTGATTACTCTTCTGGAACTCAGACTGTATGATGTAGCTTATAGGCTAACACAAGAAAAATCTTACACTTGTCAGACAAATACTGCTGAGAGGTAACAATGAGGACCAGTCAGTTTTGGGTGACTTCATCGAAGGAACATTGGTTGACAAGCCTGTGCATGTTTTAGGGGACAGGTTCCTACCTCATCAGGTGGATATTACCACACGATCCTCACCGCCAAAGCACCCAGAGTGCTTTATCCTAGACCGCTGGATTCTCATCCCTGTTACTTTGTCACCTTTTCCTCTCCTTCCCCTCTTTTAGCCTCAATTCTGTAGTCAAATTTCTAGGGTTGTTTTGTTAGTTAGCCAGTTCCTTGGTCAGGGTCTTTTGTTAGTGATGCAAGGAGTATGTTTCCTTGCTTATGGTTGTTACTTCATCATAGCTTTCCGAGTTAATAAATGAAATAGGCTAGATAAGTTTTGGAACTTTTCATTTTTTTTAAATGTTTACAATAGATTTCCTCTAAAACATTAGTTTCTTATGGATTTTTAACTAGAGTTCCTGGCTTGACTAGAAAAAAAGGAAAGAAAAGCACCTATGAAATGAATATGCCAACAGAAGCTCGGACAGTAACACATGAGACAGCTGGTGTAGTATTTCCGGAGCAAGGTGACAGCAGGAGACATGAAAACAATCAGTATGTTAGAAGGTAAAATCTATAAATTCTTCCTGTCTTGATAAAGGAATATTAGCAGTGATTACTTTTTACTGAAAATAAAACAGCATAATCTGGCATACTTACTGAGGCAAGAGAAAATGAACTTTATCGGAAAGATACTCCTGAAATGCGATAGATGAGGATGAGTAATTATTTTCTTTTTTATTGTAGCATCTCATTTACAACCCTGTCTATATTTTAGGTGATAGGTTCATATCTCCTCAGATGTATGTTACCATACATACCACCACCATGATGATTTAAAAAGGTTTCTTTTCATATAAGGACTTGAACAATACTTCTCAGTTAGGTTTTAGTACCAGTAAAAGCTTGTTTTTATTGAAAATGACCACCACAAAAAACCTGAGAATATGTTTCCTATGAAATCATGTAAATAACATTGATTTTCCTTTTTGTCTTTTGATTGTTAATTTGAAGAAATTTAATAATTTGTTAATATTACAGTACATCTTTGGTCCTTAATGTTATTACTCTTTTAACTTGGTGTTAAATCCCTTTTTAGGAAAGTATGGGTTAGAAGATTTTATATAATAACAATAGGTTTTGATATTCTTTGTATTTGGCTATTTACTATTTGCCTGAAAATAAATCTTTTCTTTTTATAGGCCTGTAAAGAAAACATCTAATGAGAAGAAGGTATAGTAAACAATAAATAAGGACAAAAATTATTCTGTGGTAAAAATACATTTTAAAAGATATAAGGAAAAACTTGAAAGTCTTAAATCATTATAAAAATGTTTACTTTAAAAATAATTTATAAATAATAATCATATATAAAGGTATCCTTTTCATGAAAGTCAGTTCCTTTAAGGAGTACCTGTGTTTTTGCTATTATAAAAAGGTGAATATTTATCACCTCTGTACACTTAGCATATTTATTGATAGTTACTGAGCATTTTGAAATATTTTTATTTGTATGTCAAACAGGAAATCAATCCTACAGATGACTCTGATGACATAACTCAGACATCTGAAACAGCCTCAATGGGTTGTGACTCGTTTTACTCGGAACATGAGAATTGTACGTTGTTAATGGAACAACTTTGCATGAATTGTAAAGGTAGGAGCATTGTTTAATTATAAAGTCTTAACACATATACTGTAGTGTCACATGCACACTTTGTCTAGTACTTCACTATAGAGCACAGATCTGTTCTCATGTTATTCATCTCAGAAATATGTTTTATATTGAGATGAAATGAGAACTATTGATTACTTCCAGCCAAAGAGCTGTGAGAATCCCCATGATACTTTTTGTTGACTCTGCTCTCTCCTAGGCCTTTCCTCGAAGTCAGATTCCCATTATTTCCCTCCTAGAATACTGAAATATCCTCAGATATGTTTCCCCTGACATTTTACCTCTGGAAACCTTCTTCTGTACTGCACACATAATTGCCATATATATTGTTTTAACTTCAGATCTCATAATGTTGCCCTTTCCTTAAAATCCAGCTAGTATCTCTCAATGCTCTAGGTTAAAGGCCACCATCCACTAGTTGCATTTTGTGTTATTCCATGTCCTTTTCTCATCTGTGTCTCAGTGACTGCGTAGTCTTTCCTACAATAAGACTTTTTGTTTTCAACAGCTTTTGTTAGGTAAACCACACCTATAGAAATTGTATAATTTGATAGTTTTGACATATGTATACAAAGATGAAACCATCCTCACAATCCAGATAGTTAACTCATCTATCACCCCTCAAAGTCTCCTCAAGCCCCTTTATATTTCCTTCTTAAGAAACTACCAAATTGTTTTCTAAAGGGCTTGTGCCATTTTCCATTCCCACCCAAAGCTTATGAGATTTCTAGTTCTTCCATATCTTCATCAACGCTCACTGTTGTCAGTTTTTTTTAAAGATTTATTTATTTATGCAAGAACCGGGGTACAGTCAGAGGCACAGGAGGGTGAGTGAATTTACCAGAGACAGAGCAGGGAGCAGAACAGGCAGACTGACTGAAGACACTGTTGAGGGGAGCAGCGGGTGAGGCAAGAGAGGTCTGCCTCGCCATGTGGGTTTCTCCCCAACTGGCCAGGAACTGAACCCGCACTGCAGAGGCTGTGGACAGCAGGGTGCTCAAGCACTGGGGAGGCCCTGTTGCCAGTTTTTTAATGTTACCATTCTGATAGGTGTTCAAATGTGTATTTTATTATGGTTTTAGTATGCATTTCCCAAATAACCAATACTATTGAGTATCTTTCTGTTAGCTTATTTGCCATCTGTTTATCTTCTTTGAACTGTGTCTAAATCTTTTATCATTTAAAAATTATGTTGTTTTCTTATTAGTTGAGTTTTGAGAGTTCTGACATTTTGAAAATACAGTTTCTTGATCAGCTTTGTTTTTACAAGAATTTTCTCCCAGTCTGTGAATTGCCTTTTAATTTTCTTAAATTGTCTTTTTTTATAATCTATAGTATATTGAATAATATAACACTTTTAATAAGTCAACAACAAACAGACTTTAAGTCCAAGACATAGCTATTTGTGATAGTAACAAATGATAAAAGGAAACTTCAAAAAGACTAGAGAAAGAACAACAAAGAAAAATAAGGAAGCAAGGAAGAAGGGAAAAAAGGGTAGTCAGAGAAAAGAGAAAGATAAATTAGAGAAATGAATCATTTATTTATTTCTTTCTTTTTATATTTATTTATTTTTATTTTTGTTTTTTCAGTTTTGTATATTTTTTACATCATTTTCATTTTTGTACAATGTATGCATTCTCATCTTGGTTATAGTCCCCAGACAATTCCCATCCCTGGTGTTTTGATCCTACTCCTTTCTCCCCCTCCCTGTATTGTGTGTCTGGTTTATATTGCTTGCTTGTTTTTTTCTTTTTTTAATGATTTTTTATTTATTTATTTATACAAGAATCAAGAACCAGGGTATAGGCTAGATGCATGGGAGGGTGAGATATTCACCAGAGACAGAGCTAGGAACAGAATAGGCAGACTGATGAGATACACTGCTGAGGGGAGCAGCTGGCAAGACAGGAGAGCTCTGCCGCACCATGTGGGACCCTCGTTGGATATGGGGATTGAATTGGCACTCCAGAGGCTGCAGACAGCTTCACAGTGTGGCACTCAACTGCCTGCGCCACCAGGGGAGGGCCTATAGTTGCTTGTTGATTTTGATTTTTACTTTATTATAATTAGTCTTTTTCCTCATCCCTTATTTAGGTTTTCTTAATTCCTGCTATGAGTGAGACCATCGGGTATTTTTCTTTTCTTTCTGGCTTATTTCACTGAGCATGATCCCTTCCATTTCCATCCATGTTGCTGCAAATTGCATGTATTTATCTTTTTTGATTGCTGAGTAATATTCCATTGTGTATATGTACCACAGCTTCTTGATCCAGTCAATTATTTTGGGGCATTATGATTATTTCCATAGCTTACCTATTGTAAATAGTACTGCTATAAATCTAGGGGTGCAGGCGCCCTTTTGAATTAATGTTTCTGTGTCCTTTGGGTAAATACCTTAGGAGTGGAATTGCTGGATCATATGGAAACTCCATCTTTAGCAGATTGAGAAATATCCACACAGCTCTCCATAGTGGTTGGAACAGTTTGCATTCCCACCAGCAGTGGAGGGTTCCTTTTTCTCCACATCCTCCCCAACATGTGTTGTTGCTAGTTTTTTTAATATGTGCCATTCTCACTGGTGTAAGATGGTATCTCATTGTAGTTTTGATTTGCGTTTCCCTGATTACAAGTGATGTTGAACAATTTTTCATATGCCTGTTGGCCATTTGCATTTCCTCTTTGGAGAAATTTGTTTTTAGCTCTTCTGCCCATGTTTTGACTGGGTTGTTTACTTTGTCTTTGTTGAGTCTCCGCAGCTCTTTGTAGATTTTTGTGATCAGTCCTTTATTATTCGCGTTGTGTGCAAAAATTTTCTCCCAGTTGGTGGGGTGTCTCTTTGTTTTGGTTACTGTCTCTTTTGCGGTACAGAAGCTTTTTAATTTGATGTAGCCATAGCTGTTTATCTGTTCCTTCACTATCACTGCTTTGGGTGATGTGTCTTTCAAGTTATTACTGAGGTGTATGTCATGTAGTGTTTTACCTATATTTCCTTCTATTTATTTTATAGTTTCAGGTCTTATGTCTAGTTCTTTAATCCATTTTGAGTTGGCTTTTGTGCATGGTGTGAGGCACCAGTCAAGCTTCATTCTTTTGCATGTGGTGACCCAGTATTCCCAGCACTATTTATTGAACAAACTTTGCTTGCTCCATTGCATATTCTTTGCTCCCTTGTCAAAGATTAGTTGCCCATAAATCTGGGTTTATTTTGAATTTTCTATTTCGTTCCATTGGTCCGTGTGTCTGTTCTTGTTCTAATACCATGCAGTTTTGATTATTATGGCTTTGTAACTTGAAGTCTGGGAATGTGATACCTCCATTCCCTTCTTTTTTTTTTTTTTTCAGGAGAGCTTTGGCTATTCTGGATTTTTGGTGGCTCCATATGAATTTCATCAATATTTGTTGTATTTCTTTGAAGAATGTCATTGAAATTTTTATTGGAATAGCATTAAATCTGTAAATTGCTTTTGGTAGGATGGCCATTTTGATAATGACTGCTTATTAAATTACTATCATTTTTATATATTGATTTTGAACCTCCTACTTTGCTATATTCATTTTTTGTTTCTATATTCATTTATTGTTTTTTGATAGAGTCTTTGGGATTTTTCTAAATATAATATATCATCTGTAAGTAGTGATAGTTTCACTTCTTTCCGACTTGTATTCCCTTTGTTTCTTGATTTTGTCGGATTGTTCTGACCAAAACCTCTAGTACTAAGTTAAAAAGAAGGGGTAACAATGGGCATCTTGCTTTGTTCCCAATCGTAAGGGGAAAGTTATCAGTTTTTCACCATTGAATATAATGTGGTTGTTAGTTTGTGGTATATAGCCTTTATTATATTAAGGTAGATTCCTTCCATCACCATTTTGGTTAGAGTTACTATCATAAATGGATACTTGCTTCATGCATTCTATAGCTAGTGTTAAGTTCATAAACGTAGAGGATTATTATCCTTCCTATAGATTGACCCTTCTATTGTGAAATTGTCTGGTTTATTGCTGATTATAGTCTGTGCTCTGACAACTACTTTGTCTGGTATTAGCATAGCCACACCAGCTCACCTTCCTTTTTTGTCAGGTATTAGTGTATATATCTTTTTCCATGCTTTTAACAAATGTGTGCCTTTATTTTCAACTTGCATTTCTTGTTGGTGGCATTTAGTTGGACTTGCTATTTGATTCAGTTTGATCATATGCCTTTACATTGAAGTTTTCATATGATTTTCTTTTAATGTAATTTCTATATATATATATATACAGTTAGGTTTAATCTGTTATCATGCTGATTGATTTCTGTTTGCCTCACCAGCTCTTTGTTCCCCTTCTTTTGTTTCCTTCTAGAATATCAAGTGATTTGTATGACTTAGTTTATTTCCTTATATTAGATAATTAGCTATAACTCTTTTGTTTCACTCTTTTAGTGGTGGTTGTAGCGTTTATAGTGTAAGACTAACTTATCACTGTCCACATTCAAGTACTACTATACCATATCATATGCAGTATGACAAAATTACAGCAGTTTACTTTTGTTTCTCCTGTCTTACACAGATACTACCTCGGCCTGTGGAACTACAGTTCTCATGAAGTTTAGAAAGTTTGTGGTCATTTTTTCAAAATACTTTTTTTTTTTCTTTCCCCTAACTCTTTGGAGAATTGTATCATGGCCATTTAAAATTTTTCTCACAGTTCACCAAGGTCATCCTTACTAGTCTTGTGTGTGTGTGTGTGATTATAATATATGTTTATTTCCATGTGCTCGCTTCGGCAGCACATATACTATAATATATGTTTATTCCCAACCAGAACATTTGTCATCTCTGAGATTATATTTTTCATATAATCTCATATAATCTCATTATATTTTTCATATAATCTGCTACTTATTTGGGAAAAAAATAGCTTCCATGACTTTACTCTTCTTCTTTTCTTTTTTTCCAGTTAAGTTACTTATAAACAGTTTGATCCTTCATGGTCTTGCTCTTTTCATCTGTTGGGTGAATCCAGAGTAATGCCCTCAGGCTAATTATTTTCCAATACCAAGGCAAGACCTTTCTCACTGCTCTATTCATTGTCCTGTTAATTATGAATTTTTCCAAGATAGCTAAAGGAAGCACCACTATTCCTGGTGCAGTTTATTCTTTTCAGATATTTTTTCTCCTTTGTCTCAGGTGGCTTCTTCATATGAATTCACTGCCTATTACTCTGTTGAATACTCCAGAAGGCCCCTCTGTAGATCTTCAGAGCTCTTTCTTGATTCTTCCCTTTTCTCTTCAGTGATCTGACCTGTGATCTCTATCTTCTTGGTTTCACCAGACCCTCAATTTCATCACCTCACCTAAAAGTATCTGGTAGATGTCACCTTAATACCTTCTCCCTGTGTCATGATCTGGAAATTATCTTAAGCTAGTGATCTGCTGGGGCATTGTCTTTCATTACCTGAAGTCCTTTGTCTTGAAAATCATTATTTTTTTATTGTATTTTTTTTTCTGTTTTGTTTTTGCTTGTTTCAGGTAGGAGGGTAAATTAGTACCTGTTACTTCCTCTTGGCTAGAAGCAGATTGTAATAAAACTTCAGCACATGTTGTCCCCTACCTAGAGTGGCTTTCTTTCTCCTTTGCTTTCTGCTTCTCCTTCATTCCTCAGGGCAACAGTCTGTTCCTCAGGGACCTCTTCCCTGGGCCTACTCTAGATCAAGTGCTGTCATGTGAGCATAGAATTTTGTTTTCTTGTAGTATCTGTAGGAATTTAGACTTTACGCTAAACTTTATCTGTCCCTTAAGCTAAATAAGAGCCATTGTTCCCATCTGTTCTGTCTGCAGAGTTTAATATAATTTTTTCCACTTTGTAGGTACTCAATATGTATGTATCTGTTTAAGGTATGGATGAGTGATTGAGAAAATGTACTGCCATTTATATGCAAAAAAAAGAGTACTTATATATTTTGTTTTTCTCTTTGTGTTTTCTCCCTGATTCAGATTTTATTAACTTTTCAAAATGCCAGGATTTAATTTGTCCACATAAAAGATTATGTGAAATTAAAGATAATCACTGTGAACTACTTAAGAAAAAATATAGAAAAATGAAAGATGAGAATTGTGCACTAAAAACGGAGCTATTAGCAACAAAAGACATAAGCTCACAGCTTAAGCAGCAAAATTTGAAACAAGAATACTGCTGCTGCAATTTGAGGTATTGAGCATTTTGGTTTTAAAGACATATTTCAACTATTTCGTTTAATACTACAAATACATAAGAGAGAAGTTTTTTTTAATTTTTTTACAAGGTTTTTTTTTCAGATTTATTTATTTATACAAGAACTGGGGTACAGGCCAGATGCATGGGAGGGTGAGAGAATTCACCAGAGACAGAGCAGGGAACAGGACAGGCAAACTAACGAAATACACTCCTGAGGGGAGCAGCGGGTAAGACAGGATATATCTGCTGTGCCATGTGGGACCCTCACTGGTCGGGATCAAACCAGTGCTGCAGAGGCTGCGAACAGCTTCATAGTGCAGCGCTCAACTGCCGGCACCACCAGGGGAGGCCCAAGAGAGAAGTTTGTAATTGCCAACTTGTCTTCTAGGATTTTACAGAGTAGAAACCTTTATTTAGTGCTGTGGAATATGAAATTCTTGGAAATAGTATAGCAAGTTTTTGATAGTGAATACTTTTGCTAATAATTTACTGTGTAGTCTTCCAAATCATGCTTTTAATGACCATATAGAAGTATACCATATGGAATACTGTGTTATAACTATTGCTGCAAGGATTTCCTTTTGTATTAATCTGTATACTGAAGAAAAAAAATCTTCAGTATAGTATTTGGCTGAAGTGCAGCAATGCTGAAATGTCTCTGATCTATATTTCTAAATTGTTCTCACGAGAGTTTATATGAATTTCCATTTCCAACAACACACATGAAATGGCCACTTTTCTGAAGACAGAAGATGTTTTTAAAAATGTATAGTCCATGGGTGATGTGGTGGTGGGAAATTTATGGGGACTACATATGAGCAGGGAAATCAAATGTTGTATAAAGATAAATAATCATGTTAAAAAATAAAAAGTTTAATAAATAATAAAATTACTGCAAACAAAAAATTATGTAGTCTTATTCTTAACCTATGCATGGAATAAAAAGAAAAGTGGAAAGTGATTACTGAATAATGTATTCAACAATTCTCTCCTACTATATCAAATTATTTCTAGGTCTGTGCTAAAAGCACATATTACTTTTTATTATACTTAGTGAATATGGGTTGTCTTGTTCCAAAAGGAGTATAAAAATGATTTCTAAAATACCTAGTAACCAACAAGCTCAGTGGAAAGTGTTGCAAAAGTAGAAACATAAAAAGAGTAGGGCAACAGCTAACAGATTCCCTCACCTAGTGTTGGATTATAGTGATCTACAGATGGATGTTGTGTGAAAGAAATCTGCAGATGCTGTCTACACTGTGAATCATTTTTAGTAGTAACTGTAATATTTTGTGAAGTTGAACTTTTTTTCCTAGTGTATTTGTAAGCTTGTTTAAAAAAAAAAAAAAACTTCCCTTTTAAATTTGTAACTAAACTATGCAAAGACAGTACCAATAACTATGTGGAGCAAAAAGGTTAACTTTAACCCTAACTGTACAGTATCATTTCAAAATTTTTCTCTCTGCAATACTTCCTAGAGTCATATGTACCTTTCATATACTGACTTTTTATTGGAACACTTAGGGATCGGCTGCAAAGAGAAGAAGAGCACTACAGGAGTGGTGCTCAAGTGAAGCAGCAGCTGGAGTCCACACTGTCAGTAGTAGTTATGGAACTGAGAGCTCTAAGAAGCGATTTAATGAAGGCAAGTTCCTCCCTGGCAAACTTTTAATATTTCTAACGCTATAATCTAAACTAGTTATAGTATCATGTTAATTTGATGTCTATTGTTGAGGTTTCAAACATTCCAATCAGATGCTTAGGATTTACAATGGTCCAGTCAGGCTTGTAGAAGGGGGTGCCTTGAAGGAGATACCAGGCAGAGCAAAAGCCAGCTTGAGTCAGTGTGCAGCCATCCTCTGAAGAGTGAAGGATTCATTGAACCACCTCTGAAGAAGCATTCTGCTCCAAGCTTCAGAAGAAAGAAGGAGTCATATTGCTGTTTGAAGAGAAAGCTTTCATCAAACCATTTTCAAAGAAGAAAGGTTCTGCTTCTGGACTCTGAAGAGAGATGCATCAAGCAGTCCACCCCCATGGGACTCACCAGACCTCTGTAGAATGTAAACCTTGTAGACTTTAAACTTCCACACGTCAATAGACCTCCACAGAAACCACTGCTGCATCTGCCTCAGGCTGGCTCTTGTTCTGCCTTGTATCCCCTTCAGGGGCCCCCACTGAATAAGCCTGAACAGGCCATTTTCAATCCTAAGCATCTGATTGGACCATTTAGCACTAATAGCTCATTTTCCATTTTTCAATCTGAATAATTAATGAAGTAGACTGGAACTTGATTGGTTGTCTTAACTCCCTCCTGATTGGTCCATTTTGCTCAAACCTGATTGGTTCAGTTTTGACTCCTAGAGCCTGATATTAAAGGGGGAAGCGTCCAATCTGATCTGCACTCAGGTCAGGGCTTGTTGGTTCCAGAGAGGTGTGGCCAGAGCTAGCCTAACTGGGGTCTGGGGCGGGGACCATCCACAGGCAGTGGGCTGAGGCCAGCACAATTTACCCCAACACAGTCACCTTGCTTCGTAACCTCTGGAGGCTGCAAGGATCCAGTTACAAGACTGCAGATAGAAGCAAAGATCTGTGGTGGTCTCACAGTCTGCAGCGGTCTTGGAAGTGTTGAAGACTATGGAAGTGTCAGTGGTCCCTACAAAATTCTACAGAGAGCTGTGGGGTTCTCTGTGAAGATCTGTGGAAATCTTGCTGTCCCGTTAAATTTGTCTGTGAAGGGTCTGATGAAAGGATCTGCTCAATGCATCAAGTCAGTTGTTGTGCGGGCTTTTATCCTCATCAGGGTTCCCACCTTTCAAACACCACCTTATTGGCTAATTTAGAATCCTCAATGGGCTCAAAAAATCCTGGAATGGAACCAGTCAGATTGGTCCATTGAGAGCTTAAACATGATTGGTCCACTTCAATCCCAGTGTCATATTCAAAAAGTGCAACTGTGGCTGCTTGTCCAGTCCTGACAAGCAAGCTCATTGATGGTGGGCCTGCAGAACCAGCTTTAGTGGGGCTGGAGGCTTGAAGAGCTGGCATGCTTCAGTGGGGCAAGGTGTGGTCGTGCATATGGCTATGCAGAAGAGCTGTTTGATGAGTCTGAGCTGTTGGAGAGCAGGCCACTGTGCCGAAGACCAGCTCCAGCAAAATGTCAGGTCAGGTGTCCCTGAAAGGATGAGACAGTGTTGGTGAAACTTGAGGGCTGAGGGGAAAGGGAGTGAGGCAGACACAGACACTCTCTCTGGCGCAAGTATCTCCTGCTGAGGGTCTCAGCGGGTCTTTATACATTAAGGCAAGCGGTGGGATTACATCATTGCATCCATAGACACAAAACAGAAACAATCAGTACATTCCTTTCCCATGGACCTTTGGTGCCCACGTGTTTTGAGAAAAGAGGTGACCTTAAAGTTAATAGATAATTAAAACTTATACTCATTATTTCAGCTTAAACAACTACCTAAGACAGCTAATAGTCCTTGGCACCTCCCTATCCGCCAAGGCTACAGTATCAGGAGACTCCTCTATCTATATGGCCTGCAGCTAGAGACCAGTTGCTTCCCAGTTATCAGTTATTAGAACTTTTTTCTACCTAGAAACTCCTAGCGTAATCAACTTTATGAATCATTGGGAAGCTTCTTTATGGAACTTCCATATAAGGAAAATTGCGGCCAGCTCTGGGTTACTTATCAGGCATGCCCTTGCACAATAATAATTTCCCATTGTCAAGTGGGCCAAATTATTGAGTGTTTAATTTTTAAGTAGGTAATTCTCCATGCCATGTATTTACAGTATTTTTATATGTATAATTTATTGCCCAATGTATTTACTGAGAAGTTCTTTCTTCTTATGACCAAGAACAAAAACCAGAGGGATATTTAATCTTCAGCCCCACGGTGTGAGGCACAAGGACTCTTCAGCCCCATGGTGTGAGGCTCTTCAAAAGTCTTCAGCCCCATGATGAGGCCCTTTTTCTTCAGCCCCACGTTGTGAGGCTCTTTGAGCTTCGGCCCCACTGTGTGAGGCCGTTTTCTTAGCTGCTTGCCAGTGTCCTATCTGGCTGGTGCAGCAAGGACTCCTATAGCACCACTGCTCAGAGCCTGCCATGATGGCCATGTGCACAGCCTGTAGGACTCTTTCCCCCAGCTCACTCTGGGCCTGGACAAGTCTCACTGCCAGAGCCCCAGGACTAGCTGGTGAGGGGTAGAGCAAGGAACCCACCACCGCCACTGCAGTTGGAGCCTGCCAGGCTGGGGGTTGAGGGAACATGGATGAGGTATGGAGTGGGGGAAGGGCGGCCCCCATGTGGCTGCATGCCAAGCCAGAGAGCCCCCAAATCACCATGCCTTACGGCCTTTAGGTGCCATGGGGCTCTTGTTTTCAGTCCTTTTAATCCAGTTTGCTAAGATTTTTGTTGGGAATTTTTGCATCTATGTTCGTCAGAAGTATTGTCAGAGATAATACTTTGGATGTAACTTTTCTAGTTTTGAGAAAGTAACTTTTTTTTTCCTCTTAAATAGCAACTATGTCCATATAAGGAGTTTTAGAAATGATATGCCATAATATATACTTAGTGACAATTTATCAATAATTATTTTATTACCACAAATTCTGCAGTGGTCTTCTATTTCACATTTATTACTATTTTAAACATTTTGAAGAAGAAATAAAACTAACTGCACCAGGGAATAATCTCATGATTTTTAAAGAGAGCATATAAATTTCACCTTATTTACCTTTAGTGCTTTGAAACAGAAGACTTCTTTTGTATCAATATATTTACTCCAAGGAAGCAGATGCGGTTTGGTACACTAGCGCTAGTAGAGTCAGAGGACCTGGGGAAATCCTGTAGTTTGCTTGTATTTTTAACTTCTCCCTTCCTGAATTGACATCTAAATGAGTTCATTCATATGTGTAGCTTAGAAATTCAGGCATACTACCATGCCTGGGTTTACCAGTTAACAATAGATTGAATCCTTATAACTGACCTTAAAAATGCTGAAAAAGTACAATATAAATGGAATCTCAGGGAAAAGAAAACTTTTAGGAAATTGAATCAGTCTGAAGATATACACTAATCTTTTATGCCTTCTGCATTTGTTGTAATTCATAGCTAGTCTCTTTCCAATTCTGAGATTCTTAGTTTTCTCATTTTTCCTTTTTTTATCGTCATGGACTCAGTCTTCAGTTAAATTCCTGAACTTTGGGGCAGTTATACTTATGTAAATTTTGATGTCCAACTGATTTTGTTTTAGTTGTAAAGCCTTTATTGCCATCTTTACATTTATAAGCATATCATTTGCTTTTAATTTCAGAGAAATTGTAATCTTGTTGACTGCTAACAAAATCTATATTTTACTTAGGCTTCTGAGAGTAATGAAAGAGAGAAAGATCCAGTACATAAAAGCCACACTTTGCAGGATGAAATCAGTATGCTAAAACTGGAAATAAATACAATGAAAAATAAAAACCAGGAAAAAGAAAAGACCATTGAAATTTTAGAAGAAATGAATGATTTTCTGCGAGAAACAATACAACTGAGTGAGGAAAGACTTACAAAAACGGTATCTCAACATTGTGAACAACTTCTTGTTCTAAAGTGTGAAAATAACTTGCTAAGCACTCAATTGGAAAATGAAAAACTAAAAACAGAAACACTGAAATCAGAAGTTGAATCCTGCCATCGTAGACAGGATGCTGCTGTACAAGATCGTGGTCAAAGTCACAAGTCCGAGAGAGACCTAGAATGTCATTTCCAAGGCACAAGAGAGGAGAAGCTACATTTAGAGGAGAGATTATCTCACAAACAAAGGGAAAACATGTTGCTTCAACAGCAACTGAATGAGGCTTACAACAAAACTGACAATAAAGAGGAGATATTAGTGAATATTCAAGGCCAGCTTCAGGACACTATAAGAAGGCTTCAAACTGAAAATGAGAAGCAAAAAGAAACAAATGACAAGTTAATTGATGAATGTAATCGTTTGAAAATAAGAACATATAAGTATGAAGAGGAAAAAGCAGCAAGAGAAGTAAGTATTCCATTAAGAATGATATTTTTCAAACTTTCTGAAGGAAAACTCAAAAGAAGTAATTGGTTAAGGCTAAAGATTGAATCTAGTGAATGTGAGAAATATATAGACTCTATAATCATATTTGCTTTGTCAGCTTACAACCATCTATTGTGTCCAGTAAATAACAATTAGACCTGAGAGGTGCTTTACACAATATAAAGGCATAGAGTCACCTATGAAATTTTATTTTATTTTATTTTATTTTATTATTTTTTTAAAGATTTATTTTTATACAAGAGCTGGCGTACAGGTCAAGGTGTGGGAGGGTGAGAGGATTCACCAAAGACAAAATGGGGAGCAGAATAGGCAGATGACTGAAATATACTGCTGTGCCTCAATAATTTTAAAAGACTTTTTTATATCAACATGTATTTTTAAAATTATTACTGAGTAGTATTGCATTGGAGAGATTTACTACAATTTGCGTATCTAATCACCCTTTTTGTCCTCAATTTTTTTTTTAATTTTTATGTTCCCTATACAATTGCAACTCCCTTATTTTGACCCAGCCCCTCCTTTCCCCACCCCTCCCCCCATAGTGTGTCTCTGGTTCATAGTTGTTTGTTGATTTTGATTTTTTCTTTCTTATAGTTTTTCTTTTTCCTGGTCCCTTATTTAGTTTTCTAGATTCCTGCTATGAGTGAGACCATCCAGTATTTTTCTTTTTTTTCTGGCTTATTTCGCTGAGCATGATCCCTTCTAGCTCCACCCATGTTGCTGCAAATTGCATGTGTTTATCTTTTTTGAATGCGGATTAATATTCCATGGTGTATATGTACCACATCTTCTTGATCCAGTCATCTATTTTTGGGCATTTGGGTTGTTTCCAAAGCTTAGCTATTGTAAACAGTGCTGCTATAAACATAGGGGTGCAGGTGCTCTTTGGAATTAATGTTTCTGTGTCCTTTGGGTAAATACCTAGGAGTGGAATTGCTGGATCATATGGAAGCTCTATCTTTAGTAGGTCGAGGAATCTCCACACACCTTTCCATAGTGTTTGGACCAGTTTGCACTCCCACCAAGAGTGCAGGAGAGTTCCTTTTTCTCCACATCCTCACCAACATTTGTTGTTGCTAGTTTTTTTAATATGTGCCATTCTGGTGTGAGATGGTATCTCATGGTAGTTTTGATTTGCATTTCCCTGATTACAAGTGATGTTGAACATTTTTTCATATGCCTGTTGGCCATTTGTATTTCTTTTTTGGAGAAGTTTCTTTTTAGCTCTTCTGTCCATTTTTTGACTGGTTTATTTTCTTTATTTTTGTTGAGTCTCATCAGCTCTGTAAATTTTTGAGATCAGTCCTTTATCATTAGTGTTGTGTGTAAAAATTTTCTCCCAGTCCATTGGGTTTCTCTTTGTTTTGGTTATTGTCTCTTTCACTGTGCGGAAGCTCTCTAATTTGATGTAGTCCGAGCTGTTTATCTTTGCCTTCACTATCACTGCTTTGGGCCATGTGTCTGTAAAGATGTCTTTGAGGTGCATGTCATGTAGTGGTTCGCCTATATTTCCTTCTGTATATTTTATGGTTTCAGGTCTTATGTCTAGTTCTTTAATCCATTTTGAGTTGGTTTTTGTGCATGGTGTGAGGTAGTAGGCAAGTTTCATTCATTTGCATGTAGTGACCCAGTGATCCCAGCACCATTTATTGAACAAACTTTCTTTGCTCCAGTGCATATTCCTGCTCCTTTGTCAAAGATTAGTTGACCATAAATCTGTGGGTTTATTTCTGGGTTTTCTTTTTGGTTCCATTGGTCTGTGTGTCTGTTCTGGTTCCAATACCATGCAGTTTTGATTATTATTGCTTTGTAGTATAGTTTGAAGTCTGGGAGTGTGATGCCTCCATTCCCTTCTTGTTTTTTTAAGGAGGGTTTTGGATATTTGGTGTTTTCAGTGGCTCCATATGAATTTCATCAATATTTTTTCTATATCTTTGAAGAATGACATTGAAATTTTAATTGGAATAGCATTGAATCTGTAGATTGCTTTTGGTACAATGGTCATTTTGGTAATGTTAATCCTTCCGATCCATGAGCAGGGGATGTCTTTCTATTTCTTTGTGTCTACTTCTATTTCTTTTAATAGCCTTTTATAGTTTTTTTTTTTTTTTGTATAGGTCCTTTACCTCTTTTGTTAGGTTTATTCCCAAGTATTTGATTTTTTTTTGTTTCAGTAATAAAAGGTATGGTTTTCTTGAATTCTTCTTCTTCAGATTTATTGTTTGTGTGTAGGAAGGCTACTGATTTTTGTGCATTGATTTTGTATCATGCCACTTTACTAAACTGATTGATTAGTTTAATTAGTTTTGGGGTTTTTTTAAAGATTTTTTTTTTTATTTATACAAGCACTGGGTACAGTGAGAAGCGTGGGAGGGTGAGAGAATTCACCAGAGCCAGAGCAGGCAGCAGAGCAGGCAGAAGGACTGAAGTACACTGCTGAGGGGAGCAGCTGGCATGGCAGGAGAGGTCTGTGCGCCTTGTGGGACCCTCCTCCAGGGCCTGGGAGCAGCCAGGGATCGAACTGGCGCTGCAGAGGCTGCAGGCAGCTTCAAAACCCAGCGCTCAACTGCTGCGCCACGGGGGAGGCCCTAGTTTAATTAGTTTTTCTGTGGAGTTTTGGGGTTCTCTATGTATATTATCATATTGTCCACAAATAGTGATAGTTTAACTTCTTCCTTGCCTATTTGGATTCCTTGTATGTCTTTCTCTTGTCTTACTGCTCTGGCTGGGACTTCCAGTATTATGTTGAAAAGCAGTGGTGAGAGTGGACATCCTTGTCTTGTTCCAGATCTTAATGGGAATGCTTTCAGCTTTTCACCATTGAGAATGATATTGGCTGTTGGCTTGTCATTGATGGCCTTTATGATGTTGAGGTATGTTCCTTGTATCCCGAGAATTTCAAGGGCCTTTATCATGAATGGGTGTTGTACTTTGTCAAATGCTTTCTCAGCATCTATGGATATTATCATGTGGTTTTTATATTTCTTTTTGTTGATGTGTTGGATTACGTTGATTGATTTTTGGATGTTGAACTATGCTTGTGTCCCTGGAATAAATCCTACTTGGTGAATTATATTATGGATGCATTGTTGGATTCTGTTGGCAAGGATTTTGTTGAGGATTTTTGCATCAATGTTCATTAGGGAGAACGGCCTGTAATTTTCTTTTTTTGTGCTGTCTTTGTTGGGTTTTGTTATTAGTGTAATGTTGGCTTCGTAGAATGCATTTGGTAGTATTCCTTCTTTTTAAATTTTTTGAAAGGGTTTGTGCAGGATAGGCACTAATTCACTGCTGAACATTTGGTAGAATTCATTTGTGAAGCCGTCTGAGCCTGGGCTTTTGTTTTTGGGGAGTGCTTTGATTACTGCTTCAATTTCGCTGCTTGTAATTGGTCTGTTTAGTTGTTCTATTTCTTCTTTGTCCAGCTTTGGATGATTATATCGTTCTAGGAATTTGTCCATCTCTTCCAGGTTGTTGAATTTGTTTGCGTATAAGTTTTCATTGTAATCTCTGATTATTCTTTTGATTTCTACTGAGTCTGTTGTGATTTCTCCTCTTTCATTTATAATCCTATTTATATGAGTTTTCTCCCGTTTTTTCTTTGTGAGCCTTGCTAGAGGTTTGTCTATTTTGTTTATATTCTTTCAAAGAACGAACTTTTGCTTTCATTGATCTTTTGGTTGTTTTTTTAAATATCCATTTCATTTATTTCTGCTTTGAGTTTTATTATTTCCTTTCTTCTACTGGCTTTAGGGTTTTTTGGTTGTTCTTTTTCTAGTTCTTTGAGATGTGAGATTAGGTTGTTTCTTTGAGTTCTTTCTTGTTTGTTGATGTGAGCCTGTATTGCTATATATTTTCCTCTTATTACTGCTTTTGCTGCATCCCATACATTCTGGTAAGTGGTGTCCTCCTGTCATTCAACTCAAAGTATTTTTTAATTTCTTCTTTGATCTCCTCATTGGTCCAGTCGTCTTCCAGTAGTGTGGATTTCAATCTCCATGAAGTGAGAGGGTTCCTTGTTTTCTTTTCATGATTTATTTCTAGCTTGATGCCTATATGATTGGAGAAGATAGTTGGAATGATTTTGATCTTCATGTATCTGTTGATATTTGTTTGTGGCCCAGTATGTGATCGATTCTGGAGAATGATCCATGCACACTTGAGAAAAATGTGTACTTGGATTTTTTTGGGTGCAGTGTCCTATAGATGTCTGTTAAGACCATGAGTTCTATGTCTTTATTTAGGTCTGTAGTGTCTTTGTTTATTTTTTGTCTTGTTGATCTGTCCGTTGGTGAGAGTGGGGTGTTGAAGTCTCCCATTATATATGTATTTTCTTTAATATCTGTTTTCAGAGCTGATAATAATTGTCTAATATATTTTGGTGCCCCTTCATTAGGTGAGTATATGTTGATGAGTGTTATATATTCCTGATGTATTGTCCCCTTGATCATAATGTAGTGTCCATCTATGTCTCTTTTTACTTTTTTTAATTTGAAGTCTATTTCATCTGATATAAGTATGGCTGTTCCTGCCTTCTTTTTTGGTCCATTTGCTTGTAGGATTGTTTTCCAACCTTTTACTTTCAGTCTGTATTTATCTTTTGTGGTTAAATGTGTTTCCTGGAGACAGTAGAAGGTTGGATTTTGTTTTTTAATCCAGCCTGCTACTCTGTGTCTTTTTATTGATGAGTTTAATCCATTTACATTTAGAGTTAATATTGATATGTTGGCTTCTGTGTATGCCATTTTGTTTGGCTTTTTTGTGATTTTATTCCTTGCTTTATTCTGTTCTTCTTGTTCATTCCTCTGTTGGTTTGGCTTTAGGACTTCTTGTAGAATTTTTTGCAGTGGGGGTTTAGTTGTAATGAATTTCTGGAGTTTCTGTTTGTCTGAGAAGGTTCATATTTTTTCTTCATAGAGGAAGGAGAGTTTTTCAGGGTAAAGTATTCTGGTTGATGTTTGCTGTGTTGAAGTTTGCTGAATATGTTACTCCATTTTCTTCTTGCCCGTAATGTTTCTTCGAAGAAGTCAGAAGTTAACCTGATTGGGTTTCCCATATAATTTATCTTTTCTTCCTCCTTGCCAGTTTCATTAATTTTTCCTTGTCTTGGACACTTGCAAGCTTTATTATTAGGTATCTTGCTGTGATTTTCTTTTCATTATGGTACCTGGGAGTTCTTCTCACTTCTTGTATGTCTATATTCATTTCCATTTTCATGCTTGGGAAGTTTTCTTCAATTATCTCCTTGAATAATTTCTCAGTTCCTTTGTCTCTCTCCTCACCTTCTGGAATGCCTATAACTCTTACATTTCCTCTCTTCATGGAGTCTGATAATTGTCTAAGAGTCTCCATATACTGTTTCATTTGCACTTCTCTCTCCTTTTCTCTTTTTGCTCTTTTTATTTCTGTATCATTGATAGTACTAATCTGTTTTTCCATTTCATCGATTCTGTTTTCATTGCTTTTCCCAGAGTTCTTTATCTCCTCTAGTAATCATTTTATCTCCTGCATTTCTTTTCTTTCCTTTCTTAAGGTCTCAGTTTCATTCTTCAGTTCAGTGATTATTTGTCTCAAATCATTTTTTTTCCTTTTCATTTTCTTTCTGCTTTTTAATCAGCATGATTATTAATTCTCTATCTGATAGGCTGAGAAGTTCTTCCATGTCATTGTTGATTTCTGGTGACTGTATTTCTTTTTGTGGTGTATCCTCCTGCGGGCTTGCTTGGTTATTTATGCTTTTTCTTCTCCCTGTTGTTTGCTCTCTAATTAGTTCTATGCGTTGGGACACTGTGCCACTGGTGTTGGTGGGCATCTCTTTGGAGTGCTCCTTTAAGGGTGTCGGAAACTGTTTACCAGACTGAGACCAGCACTGGTAGGCCAAAACTCCACCCAGTGTTGATGCTGTGTTGCTGGGCTCTGTCCCTTACATTCCCTCCCTCTATATTTACTCAGTTCCAACAGGGAATTAGCTAGTTAGTGATTTAGTTCTGGTAACGAGGTGGCACCAGAGGTCCGTACTTGCTGACCCGTGCTTTTTCCGAGTGGTTCTCTGAGTAGCAGAGGGGGTGCGGAGGGGAGCATCACAACACGGGCTCTTATTCAAGCCGGTTGCTGTGTCTGCCCTGTGTTCACCCGGTGTTGTGCCCACTGCTTTATGAATCCCACACCCTGAATTTTGCACTCTAGGTCTCAGTTCCTGGGCTATCAGATCCAAAACACTGGCTGTCACCCTGTGCAGTGCCCACTGCTATGGCACGTCCCACGCCCTGGATCCTGTGCCTAGCTCTCAGTTCCACGATGGGGTCTTGCTCCATGCCTTATTTCCCTCCTTATCCCTGTTTGCATGGCCCACACGCTCTCAGTGCCTGAGAGAGGGTTTCCAACTATAGGGTGTTGGTGATTTTTTTCTGGTCGCTTGTTGGCCCCAGAGCTCTTTCCTAGTGACCCTAGGGAACTGTTTTTTTTACCCCTTGTGTCTGGGGGAACAGAGTGGGAGTGACGTGGAGTGCCTCAACAGCATGCGGGTCTGCGTCTGCCTTGTGCCCCACCATTGTGAGGTTCCCACGCCCCAAATTTCATGCCCTGGGTCTCAGTTCCAAAGCCCTCAGGTCCAGGATGCAGTCTGTAGCCCAGTTCAGTATCTGCAGAAATGGTGCCTTTTGCACCCTGCTCCCATGTCCATGTGCCTGACTACTCAGTGAGGGAGATTCACCTCCATGAGGGCTCCTGCACATCTTCCCCCAAGCCTAGGTCGCAGGCTCGGGGACCTGAGCAGTCGCGTTCCGTGTATGCTTTTCAAGTGCACCGCTTTTCCGCACAAGCTTACCAGCTGACCTTGGACTATTTGTAGGTCTCCTCAGAGTTTTTGTTTTCTCTAATCTCACCTATGAAATTTTAAAAGGCCAAATAATAAGTTGTCAATAGGTACAGACTGATATTAATAACTTAGTCATACTGCTAAAATAAAAATATGAATCTTTGTAACCCCAGTTTTGTACTATGATGAGGCAGGTAGGTAAAAGTGCTCATACCTAAAATGAATATTTTGGAATTAATAGTCAAGTAAGTGTATTACCTTGACAGTCAAGGTTTTCCAGATTTTTCAGATGAACTGAGATGTAGAGCCTGCATCTCATAGAACTTTTCTTTCAGAAGACTTTACTATTTTTTTTTTTTTTGGTTATTTTAGATAACAGATGATATAGCTTTATTTTTACTCATGTCAGTTTGAATTGAATTTGAAAATATTTTAGTCTCAAATTATGTGTTCTAAAGACCTGCTCAGCACTTTAAAGGCATCTATTTTTCATGAAATTATAATTTGAGACAAATGTTGGCAAAATTCTGATTTAATCTTCTCACTGTGATTTATACTTTGAACATTTTTATAAATAATTTTCTCATAATTCTCATTTTAAGGCTCAATTATTATCATTTGGACCTAGATTATCCAACACTAAGAGAATTGTATAATTCTGTGATATGTTACTTTGGCCCCAGACCCCCATTTTCAGACAAATGAGGGGTGGCAGTATGCATGTTTAGTGGGCAGGGATTGAGGAGGGAAAATTCGTAGGGGTTGAGGTCAGGAAGGTAGGTGGAGGCAGTGTCCTAAGGGTCTTGAAGGCCATTGGAATGTCTTCACTTTTATTCTGAGACAGAAGGATTTAAGCCGAGAATTGAAGTTAATGTAAAGATCTAATACAAAAGCGGGAAAATGTTCCCCAGTGTGAAATTTGCCACCACTAGTCTCGCCTCCATCTCCACTTCCCTTTGAGACTTTCAGTGGGTTGTCAAGTTTTGCAAATTGGTCAGGGAAGAATGGTTAGGGGTTTGAATCTGTTGTCTAAGCTACATAGCAGTTTAGGCAAGAGGATACCAACTTCTCTTACTTGAACTTAACTTACTTAAACAAGAAGTTGTATGATAAAGAAGGTCAATGGATGATATTTTTCAAAGTACACATGTTAGCATTGTATATTATTAACATAATAAAGTCATATTGATATAAAATCAGGAACAGAAATATCTTATTTAGGTAGCTGTGAGAAAATATCATGATTTAAAAGTAGTACCACGCTGTTAGACTATTCTTAATTTATATTGTTAAATTACCATCTTTTAAAATTGATTCTATTATTCTTTGGATTATCAGATTACATGAGTACAACTATGGGCATGATTCAATTTCATTTCTATAATTCACAATAAATTCAGTTGATATTGGTATTTTTAAACTAACTTTTTCAAATTTGAAAAATTTTTGAAAATTTTTCAATTTTTTAAAATTTATTTTTGCTTAGAAGAACTGGAGTGTAGGCCAGAGGTACAGTTGGCAGGGGTGATGATTTTAGAGATTCACCAGACACAGAATTGGGAGCAGAACAGGTGGATTTACTGAAATACACTGCTAAGGGGAACAACAGGTGAGATAGGAAAGGTCTGTTGCACCATGTGTGGGTTAGCTTCCTGGCCGGGGATCAAACTCAGGTCACAGTGATAGAACAGATACTTAACCCCTAGGCCACCAGGGAGGCCCTTCATGTTTGAAATTGCTCTCTGAATCACTGACTCAGAAAGAAACTTGTATAATTAACCAGATTATAAGCATTTAAAATGTTTTTTAATTTTCTTTAGGCACAAATAAAACCCCAAGAACTGTTTGGAGATACTCAGACTACTTCAATAAGTCAAATGGAAGTCAAAAATACAAATTTGGAAACTGAAAATTGCAGACTGAAAACTGAATTAGACTCACAGAGAATAAAATTGGAAAAATACATGCAACTCTATTTAGAAGAATCAAACTCTAGAAAATCATTGCAAATTACCGTAAACACGTAAGTTGTAAAAACAGGAATTATAGGAAAGAAACTTAGTTCACTTATTTACCTCTAAAGCATAATTGTTATAGATCCAGGTTCATGTAATTACTAAGAAGTTATTATTTGGAAAATAATGTTAATAAGTGAACTTATCTTTAAAATGTTACTGCAGGACTGTTTGAATCTCCTCTTTTGTTGATTTTACATGATTTAATTTTTAGCCCTAAATAATTTCATCTAGTTAACCTGATCTAATAGACTTTAAGATAAGGATATTTGAAACTTTATAATTTAAATAGTGTTATTGTTATAAAATTGCTTGTCATAATTCTCCCAGTAGAAATATTAATGAGTTTATTTTTTTGAAGATTACAATTTTAATTCAAGTGGTCTTCAAGTATCACTACACTTAGCACAGTTTGGCTACTGGTGAATTAATTTTCTTAATGTGATCTTTGACACTATTGCTGGAGGGCACCCTGAGACAAATTATCCTTCACAGTTTTAGATTTTCTGCTCTCCAGAAAGGCATACAAGTGAAATGAGGAAAGCTGCAGGAGGTGAAGGATAGTATCATTTACAGACTGACTACAAATAAATATTGGGTTCTGCTTCTGCTTGAGGAGGTGTGTGGAAGCCCAAATGGGTAGATCTCAACACCAGTGCCTTTGTAACAGTATTAGGGGCTTTGTTTTCCTTGGAGCTGTTTAGTTCTCTTTAGTCAGCCACCAGGCAGCTCTCCTGTTCTCCCATAGAAGTTGTTGTTCTAAGTGAATCTTCAGTGCCAAAGGTTTAACTCTCAGAGGTACTGAGTGAAATGTGTAAGGATAGTGAAAGGAAATGCTTGACATTATCCCTGAAGCCGCCTCCATCACTGCCCACCCTCCCTGCTTTGAATTACTTATTAGGAACCCTCCCAGAAACATGGGCTTCTTTACCACAATTTTAAACCCCTAATTGTAAATAGTAGGTATGCACCAACACGTTTTGAGTGTTAAAACATTGTTTTATGGGAAATTCATGTTATGGCTACATTTGTTTTTAAAGTGCAAATTGTTTAGGCAAAAATGAAATATAAGGATTTGGGTTTTTCAGTCTTCACGGGGCCATCAAGAAGCTAACAGAAGTCAATACTGAACCTCTTGTGAAGGAAACACATCACGAATATGTATTCAACGCGCCTCCTCCAAGGCTAGACCTACTGCTATCTTCTGCTACACGTTCTATTAATAGTCTTAATAATCGTTTCATGCTTGATAGTTATCTTACAACAAGAGGAAATTCAACAACTTTTCCTACCTTCAGCCCATGGCCTTAAAAAGAAAGCACACACACTTAACTATGACAAGGTTAGTTATATTACCTTTTGACAAATTTTATATTCCCTTGGATTTCAAATTTCTGATGCAATATTCATTTGTACTTAGACAAAATTCTTAGTTGTTCAACTGACTTATTTATACACGCGAAGTAAATGTCAGTTACTTGTGCTCATAAAGTAGATATAAAATTTAAAATTACAAGTCCCTGGTGCTCTCATTTTCAAAATCACTGACATTATTGAATTAGATGTAGCTAAATCAACACATTTAAAATTTCTTGAAAATCTGTGTTTAATTAGATCTTAGAAATTAAATATTAATGCTTGATAACTGGCAGTATACTTTGAGATACTTTGGCTTACTTTATGATTGATTTCAGTTGGACTGTGGTTCATCAGAATTTTAAAGTTTCTCTGTACATTACCTGTCTCATTTTTCCACCATGCAATAACTTTATGACTGACATCTAAACAGATGTTATCATTTACAGTAACTCCTTTTTATGAATTAAGCATAAATTAATTATTAAAAATTAATTTCTGTTGTCACTATCTTACATAAGAATACATCCTTAAGCACAATTTTATCTTTTAACATTTTTATCTCTTTTTTATAAAATATGGACCACTTCCCAAATAGTCAAATCAAACAACTATTTGAATTTTTATTTTATTTTAAAGATTTATTTATTTATATAATAGCTGGGGTATAGGCCAGAGGTGCGGGAGGCTGAGAGGATTCACCAGAGACAGTGGGGAGCAGAGCAGGCAGACTGACCGAAAGCACTGCTGAGGGGAGCACTGGGCAGGACAGGAGAGGTCTGCTGCTCCATGTGGAAATCTCCCTGGCTGGCCGGGAATCTAACCCACGCTGCAGAGGCTGGACAGCTTCACAGCCCTGTGTTCAACCCGCTGCGCCACCGGGGAGGCCAATATTTGAATTTTTAAAATCGAGTTAACTTATGTTTCTTAAACTTGCAATCACTGAATGACCACTACAAGAACAATGTAAAGGAATCTTTTAATACCAGCTAGCTTTATTGGCTATCATTTTTATTAAAATTTCTACTTCAATCAATGCACATTAACTTACTGTTTTGATGGTGTTTTCATGTTCTGCTTTTTTTTTTTTTTGCAAATTAAAAAAGTTTTTATTTATTTTTTTTTCATACTTAATATTTTTTTTTTCCCTCAATACAGTGCAGGGGGAGGGGACAATAGCTGTAATATACATGGAAAGTGTCCATGAGTGGTTTCTGAAAGTCTTGAAAGTCTCCCTTCCCTTTTTTTTTTTTTAATAATAAATTTTATTTTTATATTCCCCATACAATTGCAACCCCCCCATTCTGACCCCAGTCCCTCCCCTCCCGCCCCCCACCCCAAAAAGTGTCTCTGGTTCATAGTTTTTTGTTGATTTTGATTTTCACTTTCTTATCGTTATTCATTTTCCTGGTCCCTTATTTAAGTTTTCTAGATTCCTGCTATGAGTGAGACCATCCGGTATTTTTCTTTTTCTTTTTGGCTTATTTCGCTGAGCATGATCCCTTCCAGCACCATCCATGTTGCTGCAAATTGCATGTGTTTATCTTTTTTGAATGCTGAATAATATTCCATGGTATATATGTACCACATCTTCTTGATCCAGTCATCTATTTTTGGGCATTTGGGCTGTTTCCAAAGCTTAGCTATTGTAAATAGTGCTGCTATAAACATAGGGGTGCAGGTGCTCTTTGGAATTGATGTTTCTGTGTCCTTTGGGTAAATACCTAGGAGTGGAATTGCTGGATCATATGGAAGCTCTATGTTTAGTAGGTCCAGAAATCTCCATACAGCTTTCCACAGTGGTTGGACCCGTTTGCACTCCCACCAACAGTGCAGAAGAGTTCCTTTTTCTCCACACCCTCGCCAACATTTGTTGTTGCTAGTTTTTTTAATATGTGCCATTCTCACTGGTGTAAGATGGTATCTCATGGTAGTTTTGATTTGCATTTCCCTGATGACAAGTGATGTTGAACATTTTTTCATATGCCTGTTGGCCATTTGCATTTCCTCTTCAGAGAAGTTCCTTTTTAGCTCTTCTGCCCATTTTTTGACTGGATTATTTTCTTTGTTGTTGTTGAGTCTCATCAGCTCTTTGCAGATTTTTGTGATCAGTCCTTTATCATTAGTGTTGTGTGCAAAAATGTTCTCCCAGTCGGTGGGGTTTCTCTTTGTTTTTGTTATTGTCTCTTTTGCTGTGCAGAAGCTCTTTAATTTGATGTAGTCTTCATGTTCTTCTTAATGAACATAAAAGCAACAACAGCTCATTTTAAAAGAAGTCTCACATGATTTTTTGCATTTGGGTTCTTGTCATAATAAATCATGGAACAGTAAAGCTAAGAATTCTTACTCAGCTTTGCAGCTAAATGGGTGTGGATACTTCAAAGTTGTGAAATTGGATTATTTGATAGAGAAAGAAAATGAAAGTCAAATATGGCTTTAAATTGTTAAATATTCTTTTTCTCACGAAAATTTTAAAAAATCAGATAATGTATCATTTTATAAGGTAGAATATACATACAGAAGCAATGTTAGAGAAGATTTTTGAGGAAATTTCTTTGCCTGTTTTGGGGGAAAAAGTTGTTTGTTTTTAATGTTTTTAGATAAGTGAAAAAGCAGTTTAAGTTTAATGTTGTGGTTCCAAGTCCGTGGTCCTCTTGTGGGGCACTGGTTTATTATGCTAGTCTTAGTAAGAAGGATCAAAAATCACTACTCTATCAAGATACAGAAAGACATGTCTCCATAATGACTTCAAATGCCTCAAAAAAGTTGTCTAAGAGTTACTTTGGAAGAGTTCTTTGTATACCTGAATATCAATCCCTTGTCAGTTGCATGCTGTGTGGATATTTTATCCATTCTGTGAGATGTCTTTTTCATCTGCTAATATGTTCTTTTGCTGTGTGAAAGGTTTTTATTTTGATGTCATCTCATCTGTTTATTTGGGTTTTGTTTCCCTTGCCTTAAGAGTATAGACTCCAAAGACATCTATGTCAGTGATGCCTTGAAACCTATCAACAATGCTCACCTCTATGTATTTTATTGTTCATCCTTTATGAACTTATCATTGTACTTGGAGTTAGAGAGTGGGTCTAAGGTCTTTCTTCCCCACATGTCTGTCTGATTTTCCTGCCCCACTTGTTAAAGAGATGTCCTTTTCTCCATTGCATGGTTGTGGCGTTTTTGTCATAAATTGGGAATTGATATATGTGCAGCTGGATTGCCATGCCTCTGATTCCGTTCCAAAGCTTTGTGTCTGCTTTTATTCCTATACACTATTGTGTTAATTACTAAATCATAGTGTTTAAAATCAGGTAACGTGCCTCCATGTTTGCTCTTACCTCAGGATTGCTTTAGCTCTATTTATTTCTGGCTCTACCCTTCCTTCACTTCTTTCATCCTTGTGGAAATAGCAACCTGCACACAGAAACTTTTCTCAGAAAAGATGGGCTTCATCAGCTTCTTGTGTTTCTAGTAATAAGGTCCAAAACAAAACAAAAACCTATACTCATCAACTAGTCCTCGGTCCAGCAATAGCTATCACTTGATAGGTGACTTTTAAATCTACACTCATTTAGTTTGTCATGGGTTTATCTTTTGCCCCCAAGGGAAGTTCCAGTATCCTCAGCATGGAATAAAAGCAGCCAAATAAATTTGGATCCTGCCAACTTACATATCCTTATCTCCCACTACTTCCTTTGCTGTCCCTTTGCTTTAGCATCTGACCGACCGAGACTGTATAAAGCCACAGTGCATTACCTTCTCTACAGCTCTTTGGCTCCGCATCTCTTCTCTGTCTGGCATATCCTTGCCTTGCCCTTCAGGTATCAGTTCATATATCACCTCCACCAAAAAGCTGGAAAATAGTGACACAAAACCGTGAAGTTCCTTCCGTGTTCCAGTAGCTCCCTGTTCATACCTGTCATACTGCATACATGATCACTGAGGAGCGGACCGTGCCATCTCTGTATTGTCATTCCAGTGGTTGTCACAGTACCTTAGCACATGCTTGCTGAATAAATGAGAAATGAGAAAATCGGAAGCGCTGATCCTTAGCCACAATAACAATTGATTCAATGTGCAATGGACAAATTACGTTTGCTGTCTTCTATTTTGGAATGTAGTGGCACATAAATAACGTTTCATTTGAATACTGATGAAGGGCTCTGCTCTATTTTCTTTTTAACAAGTTATCTTAGTCATCGACAAAGTATTTATTTAAGAATCATTTATTTATGCATTCAAGATTATAATTCTGTGTAGTGTTTTTCCAAACATGATTTTTCAGTCATGTTCCTTCCAAGACTAGGTCACCCAAGTAAACCATTGGCTTCATCCCACAAACCTGTGTGCTTTCACATCTGGCCTCTTATTTATTTGTGCTTTTTTTTTTTTTTTTTTGAATAAAGTAACCAGCCAGGTCGTCTTCTCAAAGTTCAGCTCACTGGGAGGGATTTTCTTTAAAAATGTGCTACAGGTGTCTCAGAGAGAAACCGCAGTGAGGTAGCCTTGTGCATTATGATCATACCTGCACATTGTGAAGAACTAGCAAGAAAAATGCATGTGATCAATCCATAGCTGCACACCAGGTAGCAGAGGATGTGTTCATTTGTCCAAGAATTGTAACCACATCTGCGACAGCCGCTGCATTGGGAGTCACCACCTCGTTAACCATATGATAATCCATCGTCACTGTCCAAGAATATCTTCTGTGCAACACGACATCAAGCATGTGGTTGGAATCACCAACTCGGCATTTTTCGAGTTCTTCATGGTGATACTAAAGCTTGCATTTCCTCTAAAAATGTGATATTGCTTATGTCTAGATAGGCACCAGTCTAGAAACTTCCAATTTGCCATAATAGTCTTCTCTCCAGAGGTCAGTCAGTATCAGCCAGTAACCTTTGTTGGGAATCTATCAGCTTTGAGTTATAACGTATCCTGATCATGATGAATGGAACTTGGAAGAAAAATGTAGGGTGGGTTTGGGGACCCTCTGGGACATTTATGTACTAAAACCACACATTTAGCACCCAGTCTCCATAAATGTGTGCTCTGGTAGACAACAGTTACATTGTGGTTCCCTGGAGTCAATGTTAACTCAGAATTAATGTCCTGTGTTCCCAAGGTTTCTGGTTATTTCCATTTCCACATTGCACATTCACCTAATCAAGGATTAAAGGTCCTTTTGGGGATGACAGGAAGACAGATCATAGGATCATTTTTGGCAGTTATCAGGGGTTTTAATCAAGTTGACCTGGCTGTCTTCATTCAAAGAACTGTGGTATCATAAACTGACTCACTTCTTGGAATGGATTTAGGGGCCATGATAATTTATGTTTATGATTCAAGTGACACTTTGTTCACTTGACCTATAACTTGTCAAGTAAGAACTCTGTAAAAAAAAAAAAAACCAAACAAACAAATAGTGATGGATCCAGGTGGACTGAGGATTGAGCCGGAGTGACAGGGACCAGGCAGGCGGCATAAATGAGGGACTTGGCAACCAGCACTCCAATCTCCTGCGTCTTAGACATTGGCAGATGATTCAATCCTTTAAAGAACAACACTGCAGATGGGCTCCTACCAAAGAGTCCCCGGCTGGGAGTGGAATGTGGGACCATGTGCAGGTCAATCTGCTCCAACACTTTCTTGTGGTTCCCTCCTTCGATTGAGGCCACCAATGGAAAGGAGTCCTCCTAATGGTGCAGGCACCATGCACCTGCCTTTTGGTCACATGTGGCTAATGAGAAATGGCACGGGTGCCAGCAGGTACAGGAGATGCAAGGGAAAGTTAAACTCGTGTTTGAGGATGGCTTGACACTGGTAGATTTTTACCTATCCTGCAGATCCTGTATTCTTTGTATCACCGACGCTGATTTGGTGGCAGGGAATGGCTACAGAAAGAGGCTTGTTCGGGCTAGAAATTCTAATACTCTTCAAGGGATTGTAGTAGTTGAAAAAATTCAAATGAGTGAACAGTACTTCCCAGCCATACAGAAGTTTACTGTGTTGGACCTAGGGATGGTCTTGCTTCCAGTGGCCAGCCAGAGGGAGGCATCCTGCCTCATTATGAAGTTAGTTCAAGAGCAAACCAAAGATCCCAGTAAAAACCCTTTTCTCATGAAGAAACAGGCTCAGATTTCTGAGCCCCACCTTCTTAGAACCGTGCAACAGATCCCAGGGATTGGAAAAACTAAAGCTCCCCTACTGCTTCAGAAGTTTCCAAGCCTCCAGCAACTCGGTAAAACTTCCATCCAACAACTGGAGCCAGTGGTCAGACCAGCAGCAGCACAGCAAATTCACTCCTTCTTCACTCAGTCCAGGTGACACTTGCCGCCTTCGTTCTGCAGTGTTCTTTTAGACCACAAGGGACAGGATCCTGTTTTCTTTTCATATTTCAAAGCCACAACAAAAGAATTCCTCTCCAGCAACTAGTGGAAGAGTCCAGATTGGAGCCTGCCTGTTGTCCTGCCCTACTCTCTGGGTCCAGATATTTCAGCTAGTGCGTCCCTGGGGGCACTGCCCTCCTCCTGCTGGCCTGAAGAGGGCCGGTGGGGCTCTTCCCAGAGTCCATTTAATTAGAGATGCTCAGACTCAGCAAGAATCCAGCTTGGGAAGATTTTTATGTGACCTTGATCTGTATGTATCATGAAAAAGGCTTATCAAGTTTCAGGTGATAGATAAGACTATCTGTAAGAAACAAATAATGAAGAACTGTGGACCATAAGCCCCTGTTCCTGGTGGCAGAGCTGCTGTTCTCCAGGTCTGTGCTTTGAAAACTACTGCCAGTGTAAATAAACAGTGGGACTGCCTTTTTTCTTCCTCCCTTCCTCCCTCCCACCCTGGTGGCTGCACAGTTTGTTTATAACATGAGGCACATCTTCCGAACACAGAAAGCCGGAGCCTGGAGTTCCTATTTAAAGATAAAAAGCCTCGGGTGTCCCTGGTGGCACAAGGGAGTTAAGCACCACGCTATGAAGCGATCTGCAGCCCCTGCAGCATGAGTTCCATCCCCCGCCGGCCAGGGAGAAACCCACATGGTGAGGCAGACCTCTCCTGTCTCACCTGCTGCCCTCCTCAGCAGTGTGTTTCAGTCAGTCTGCCTGTTCTGCTCCCCACTCTGTCTCTGGTGAATCCTCTCACTGCCCCCGGCATCTCTGGCCTGTATCCCAGCCCTTGTATGTGTAAATAATCTTTATTAAAAAAATAAAAAAATAAAGATAAAAAGCGAGTGTGTGTGAGGGAGGAAAAGAATGTTTGTTAATGTATATCCCAGCAATGGGAAGATCTACATGGGGCAGCTGAATGCAGAGAGGAGAGCCAGGGACCAGGGATGCAGCCGCTTGTTCAGAAAAGTAAATACAATTAATGATGTGTTCAAAAAAAAAGATCAAGTAAGAATTCCGTAGGCTTCGTATCAATCTCACTTCTGGAAACACCTGGACAATGCCAATGTGCCCGAGTCAGGTGGATCTGATTGCTCCTTGTACCCAGCCATCTATTATGTTCATGAATGAAGAAATGTGTTACATCATTACTTGTAAGTGCTGAGTAAGCGGTATGCCTAGCAAACCATTAGTTTTTTATAAATCAATCTAATCATTATCAAAAGTCTAAAAGCATTCCATGACTTTTGAACTGTTTGCTGAATTTTCATGTTCAAATGTGCATTGACATTCCATGTAGAATGGAAAAGTCCCATTCTAAACCCTTTCCCTCCATAGGACATAGTCCAACCACCTCAACTGTCCGTCGTCACCTATGCTGCTTTTACACACTTGTGGATGATGTGACTTTTCTAGAATGTACTATAGGAGAAAGGGTTATAACATTAAATGTGCTTGACTATTTATACATACATATGACTACATGCACACATGCTGTAGGCACCTGCATGGACCAGGAGTCCTTCTGGAAATGAAAACTTTACAGGAGTCTAGCACAGCATGTCAGCATAGCAATCTCTGGTAATCAGGCTGTGAATGTGGGAATAGAGACAGTGACCACATGAGCTGGGGGTCTCAGGGCTTTGGGCCCTGGTGAATGTGTGCCCCGTGACCAGCAGGGGGCACTGTGGGATGGCCCCTGGGCAATTCACTCAGAGGAGCCAGGGCCTGGGGGCTGAGTGCTTGGCTACCTGATGGAGATTGAACTGTTGTGTCCTCCCTGGTCCGGCACAGCCCTCTGAGCAGGGCCCTGTGTGTGGTGTCAACAGGTGCTTCCTCCCAGGGCTCTCCCAAGGGGTGAAGCAAACCCTCGTCTTTCTCAGTGTGGGGTGTGAGCTGAGCTGCAGCACTAAGGCTCAGGGAGGGCTGAGAAGTCCCTGGATGGAAGCCCATTTGCATGCACAGCCCCTCCTGTGGCAGAGGGTGGGGAAGAAAAGGAGGCCTGGGGAGCCCAGCCCCATGTGGGGCTCAGGGGCTGTGAGCACCATGGCCTGGACGCCTCTCCTCCTCGTGATCCTCTCTCACTGCACAGGTGGGGGGGCACAGGCCTCAAGGACCAGGGGTCACTGCAAGCTTTTTTCAGTCTGTCTCACACAGTAATTCATAAAATTGTATCTGGTCCTTGTCCCTTCACCCATGAGTGTCTGTACTTGCAGGTTTCCTCTCCCAGCCTGTGCTGACTCAGCAGCCCTCCCTCTCTGCGTCTCCTGGAGCAACAGCCAGACTCACCTGCACCCTGAGCAATGACGTCAGTGTCCAGAGCAAAAAGATATTCTGGTTCCAGCAGAAGCCAGGGAGCCCTCCCTGCTATCTCCTGAACTACCACACAGACTCAGATAAGGGCCAGGGCCCCGGGGTCCCCAGCCGCTTCTCTGGAGCCAAGGACACCTCGGCCAACGCGGGGCTCCTGCTCGTCTCGGGGCCGCAGCCTGAGGACGAGGCCGACTACTGCTGCGTGGTCTCCCATGGCGGTGATTCTCACAGTGACACACACAGAAGGGGACATGGGACAGGAACCTCAGCCTGCTCACAGTCTTGTTATGTGGCCATTTTTAAATAATTGTGCATATGCACACTATACGTTGAAATACCTCTGAGTTCATAATGGATCTGCTACAATTAAACATTCAGTGTTTCTAAAACCTCAGGAAAAATAACTAACATTAAGAATAAACTAACGAATGACTCTGGAAGGCTGCCAAGTTATTAATGTGATTAATCGTGAAGCTGCCCTTTTTCTCTTACCCAGATAAGGAAGAGGAGACTTCCCCACTCTCATTCTCAGTGTCCAGAGACCCACCCCCCGCAGGTGCACAGTCCTCACAGCGGGGACTCTGCTCCCCAGAGACACTTCCCTCCCAGGAAGTGGGGGAAGGAAGGGCCCACGAGATTGTGTCCTAAGAAACAGGCACGAAGAGGTGAGATGCCGTGTGAGGATCAGGCCCAGCGGGAATTTCAGACAGAGCTGCCCTGCGCCCTCACGGGCACCTCAGCCTTCAGTTGTGGAGTCGGGACGGGGGTCAGGCATAGGGAGTTGATGACTCAGGACGTGAGGACAGCAAACCCCGTTGTGGGACATGAAAGGGTAACAACGATTCTCCACAATGTGAACCAGCTGAGTCTACTCCAAGGAAAGGGGTGAAATAGAGATGCTCTTAGAGCTGACACCACACCGGACCCCTGGGGACTTCCGTGAGTGGTGTGCCCCTCTCCTGTCCAACAGCGCAGCGTGTGGGGTGGGCTGTGAGCATCAAGAGCAGGAGCTCCCCAATAATGGTCTGTGAGCCTCCTCTGGTGAAGCCTTTCATGAGTCCAGAATCCAGGTGACATTCTCCTGCCCAGGGAGCAGAAGAAACATTGGGGGTCCCCATGGCAATGTTACCTAAGCCTCAAAGGCATACTCCCTGCTGAGTGACCCAAGACAGATGTTACTGACCCCTAGATTCAAACTCATCCTCTGGCTCCTGGTGTCCACACCACCTCTGTTATGAAGGCCATGTCCTTGTTGCAGACCCAACGGCTCAGTTTGGGCCCTGCTGGCACGGTAGCTGTGAGCTCCGGCAGGTCCACCCCCTTCCCTTGCTCTGACTTCACAAGGGAAGTGACAACGTTTCTTTTCTTACTGTTCTCCCAGTGCAGACGCCTGCAGTTGCTCCCAGATACAAAATCCCATTTATGGTTGGCAAAGAAAACAGACGTCCCACCTCTGGGACCTGGGAGACCCAGGTGTCCTCTCCCAGCACCTGCATGTCCCCACTCCGGGTCCAGGCCTTCTTCTCCCCCCATAACCCTGACCGTGTAAGGACGCTGGGCTTCTCTCTTGCCCTGCAGACTGCTCTCCTGAGCTGCTCCTGCTCTCTGGTCACCAGGAGACCCCTCCCCACTGGGACAGGTCTCTCAGACCTGACACTCACTATATCACTTCACCCCTTATTCCTAATTCCTTTCCCTCATTAGGAATGATATTGGATATATATCACTTCTCTAAACCTAGAGCTCACCAGATAGAATGATTACCACTGTTACCAACACGTGCTCTGGGGATCGTAAGCCTGGACCTTGGCTCCAGTTCATGATGTTTTGGTTATGAACCAGGGACAATGTAGCAGCAAACCCAGTGGCCAGGTGATCTTAAACTATTTGGTGACATAAATGTCACATTTTGCTACCTATTGGTCCTCAGTGACCTGAAAAAACAATGTCTCAGATGCGCACACCTTGGAAGCGACCTACACTTTTTTTTTTTTTTTTTAAGATTGATTTATTTATACAAGCACTGGGTACAGTCAGAAGTGTGGGAGGGTGAGAGAATTCACCAGAGCCAGAGCGGGGAGCAGAGCAGGCTGACTGACGAAGTACACTTCTGAGGGTAGCAGTGGGCGGCAGGAGAGGTCTGCACGCTCATGTGGGACCCTCACCCGGGGGCCTTGGATCGAACCCCAGTGCTGCAGAGGCTGCAGGAAGCTTTGCAGCCCAGCACTCAACCGCTGTGCAACTGAGGAGTCCCCTGAAGCGACCTACTCTTTCTACTGCCTCAACTAGTGACAGCCAATGACGTGAGAACATCAGCACCCACCAGGAGAGCTGGGAGTGTGAAAAGCATTAGAAGATGTGCTGTATTCTGAGCCTAATAGGGGGTGCTGTGGACTGGTGCTGAGAGCTCAGGGGACCTGGATAGGTAGGCTCAGAAAATGCATCACTGACTCTTGCATAATTGGGACAGCAGTGCCCGCCCTGCCCTGAGCCACATGGGCACTCAGCACTGACTATCCCTGCCTCCTACTTCATCTCCTCCCATCTTGGAGTCGTTGCCCAAGCTTATTTTGCAGAAAAGGATGATGGACCATCACACCGCAGGGATAAATGTTCACGAACTGTGATGGGTGAGGCTGTCTGGACACAGCACAGCAGATACTTGGAGATGCAAGAGTCTCAATTCCAACAACAAGACCTCCACAAGCAGAGCTCTGGGGCTTCCCTGCCAGGACACAGGCCCCTCCCATCATAACCAAAGGCATTCATTTCACTACAGGATTCGCTGTGGTGGGGTGTGAAAGGATGTGATGGGGGTGACATGTCCACTGCCTTTCATCCTGGCACCCTGCACAAGCAGTGGGCCATCTGTTCTTTCTGTCACCTTCTCCCCTTAATTCTAGGGTCCTGGGCCAGGCTGTGCTAGACCTGTTGTCTTGCACAAAGTCTGTGTGTGTGTGTGTGTGAGAGAGAGAGAGAGATGAGTGAGCACCATCTTCTCTAATACTCTTCTAAGCCAGAGGCATCATGACAGAGTTTTCCTAAATATGCAAGGAGCTATTCCAAAGACATAAAAAAGAGGCCATCTTTTATGTCTTTAGTAAATTAGTGCAAACTAATTTACTGATTGTAGAAAAAACAGGACATCCAGTCTCACAAGAACTGTGTCATATTTGAACATTAAAGGACAATATCATTTGTCATTATAAGTGTAAAAATGCCTCACTTTATTGTAGAGACCGTGTTATAGCAAGAAGGATCTATCTTGGCCTCCAAGGAGGATTTGGGTTGAGGCTCAGGCATTTGAGAAGTCTCAAATGGAGAATATGGATTTTGAGGGAGAGCAATCAGTAGTGTAAGTGAGGCATATGTCAGACATAGGTCCGTTCAGGAAAGAACTTCAGTGCTCTCAGCAGTGGCATTTTGACACGCTGTAGGAGAAAAGGATACATTTTTTGGGTGCCATGCTGTGTAACTCCTGGATTCTGGAGCCTGAGCAGGGGGACAGGCATCAGCCTGGACCTTCAGATGGAAAAAGCACAGCCCAAAGAAAGCACATCCCTGGGTCAGGCAGACTCACCCAGAGCCACCAGGGGGAGCAGTTCTCTGTTCCTTCCTGCCTTGGGATGGCCTCCTGGGCCCTGGTTCTGTCATTTGCAACTTTCCAATCCTCAAGTCACCCCTACCTCCTGATTGCCACCCAGACTCCCCGACCAGGAAAGAATTGGTTTGGACCCTGGGGCCCTGAGGATAACTGAGACAAAATGCAAAGGTGACACAGGGCTCCCACCAGAGTTCGGGGGCCTTTCTGGCAACTTTGATGATGCAGTTTACTCATGATGAACATCAAATAAATGTATTAGTATTACAACTGTCATTTTCTTTGTATGTTACTTGCCTGCTCTTTCTCATTTATTTCAGGGAGCATAACCAATGGAAAATCAACATAAAAATTGTTGTTGCAACTGTAAAAGAGAAGAAAAACAAATAGCAAAGAGAAATCACTACATACATGATTGATGATGAATGGATGGATGGATGGATGAATGGATGGATGGATGGATGGATCTATCGCTCGATCATAGGTTGTTTGATAAACAGAGAGTAGAGAAATAGATAGATGAATTTGATGATGTTTCTAAACTTCAAGTTTAGGAAAGAATCTTCTAAATTTCCAGAGATCACTAAGAGAATTCTGTTAACTTGTAAAGAAATACATAAAGTCACACATTCTTGGAAATATTAGATGCAGAATTGAAAGGGACAGGTTCTTAGATTTCTGAAGAGGGAAAGATTTAGGTTGATTATATTAAAGCAAGTTATTATTTAAGACTGAAAAAAAGAGGAAAAGAGTAAAATTTCAGAAATTAACTGTAAATTTAAGATTATCTAAAGATTGGTACATCTCGGTAATGAAATGGAAATGGTGAAGCAATTTAAAGTACAATAAATTTAGAAATAGAGCAATATTTAAATAATGTACAATGTTTTGCTTTCAAAACTGAATTTTTACTAAAAAATAATGATTCAACTAACATTATGGGCTAAAAGTAAAGCCAAAGACTTTGCTAAAAAAAAAAAAAAAAAGAAACCAAGCAAGATTTAGATGGGTTTGGAGATGGAAAAGAGTTAGAAGACTATGGGACACCTTTTCCTGCTTCTTTTAAGAATTCCATTTTAATGTTTCTTTCAAGGCATGGGTAGTGAACATATATATATATATATATATATATATATATGACTCATAATTATAGATCAATTTTCCATTAGAAAACAGGCAAACATAATTTTTAGTACCATTGGACACACCTAAGAGTATACAGAACGTATTCTGGAAAAACAAAATACGAAAGTAAGATGCCAAACAAACACATATATATTGTATATGATAAACTTTTAAGAGAAAAAAGATACATTTGAGGAGAGCGTACACATGAGTTGA